GAAGATTTATACTTCACGAACGACTTATGTTTAATGTCGCACAAATCTGACGATTTACAGACATAGTCCATCAAGATGGTGGAAGAATCGGCGAAGACAAAGTTTCAAATGGGCACACCAATCAACCAACCAACAACATCAACAAGCATCAGTCACCATCAACCGAAGGAACTTGAATCGGGTCACTTGTTTCATTTCTTTCGGTAGCGTTGTTCTGAACTACAGGTGAAGTAGATACGGATGTCAAGAGCGGGATTGGAAAAGCAAGACAAACCTTTATCAATCTGGAATCATTGTGGGATTATGCTTTGCTTAGTGTGAGGCATAAGTTAGGGATTACGAATGTACCAGAGAGTATGTGGTCTGATTAACAGCGAGTTGACAGATATCCTTCTCGTGTTAACTCCAACTGTGTATACGAATTTACGTGTATCTGCGGTAGCAGTTACATCGGGAAAACTGAAAGTAGGTCACACCATCAATTTCCTGAAAATCTACCAGAAAGCCTACGTCACAAAAGGACAAGCGTTTATAATAGTACCATTACCAGACATCTCATCAATACGGGTCATGAGGTGGACATCACGGAGTCCTTTAAAATTATCAGTAGACAAAATAGTTCAATTCACCTCAATTTTGCCAAAGCAACCGCTATAAGCCGTCTGAAAGTCAATTTATGTGTTCAGAAAGAAGCAGTTATCAGTCTTTTCTTGCCCTGGTTACAGGATGTCTTTATTCTCTCTCTGTTTCATTTGATTACGTAATCTTCGGCTTTAACCTCTCCCCCTTCTTTTGATAAAGTATAGTTCTGCTTGTCTCTTGTCTCTATGATCTGAGTTGAACCCGCCATACTGATATTCATTTTATTAGGTACTAGTTACGAGGAAGTCAAATCGAGAATCGGGAAGGAGAGAAACACATTCATCAACCTGAAACCAATCTGGAAATCTTCGTCACTCAACTCAGCATAAACAACAAAATTCGGATTTTCAATACAAACGTCAAGTCAGTCAGTTCTTCTATACGGATCAGAAACTTGGCGGGTCACAAAGAATATTTCCAACAGCCTGTTGCAGACCTTTATCAACAAATGTCTTTGGTCTATACTGAAGATCAGATGGCCAGAAGGAATCACCAACAAGAAACTATGGAAACAAACAAAACAAGAACCAATCGCCCAACAAATATGCAGGAGAAAGTGGAGATGGATTGGACACTTGCTGAGGAGGCCGCTGGGTGACATCGCGCGTCAGGCCAACGCTCGAGTGGAACCCGAAAGGGAAGCGGCGAGTGGGACGTCGGTGCAAGGGTGACATGGAGGAGATCGTGTGAAGAGGAGTTGAAGCAGTATGGACTAACATGGATGCAAGTGAAAAGTACAGCACAAGACAGAAGCAAGTAGAGACGTGCAGTTGAAGCCCTATGTTCCACTAGGAACCCAAGGGAACAATAATAATAATATATAAACTTCCATTATTGCGTAACCCCATCACCATCTTGTTCAAGCATTTATTTTTGTTTAAACTTGAAGTTCCTGTGTACAAGCTATGCAGCTGAAAATTCTAAGGACTGTTTATTAAGTTTGGAGTCTCCTATCACTAAGTGACATTATGTAATATCTGCGAGTATGTTAAAACTGTTCTGAACATAAGCTTGAATAATTTCTGTAGGCCACATGCAGCTGATGAGAAGCCAGTGGAATAAATAATGGTACCATCTTTTTCTGTGCACACTGTTATTCTTGCTTTACTCATATATGTATATATGTATATATATAATCAGCGAAACTGAGGACTGATAGGATAATAGCAATGATTTTGGTAAAAACTGGAATGATGTGGAAATCTTATTAATGATGACATGCAAACCAACCACCTCCGGAGAACTAGCCTAGTAATTTATATTCATTCCAGAAGACATAATAATTTTAGAACAACACATTTAAGCGAACAATATTGTGCTTTCAATTAGATCTCATCAGGCTTAACTCTAATATATATATAAGCTTACAAATAAAAATTCAAATATAAACCAATCATGGTGTTTTGTCTATAGGATAATACGATGGTGAATATAAAATTGTGCAAATAGTCATAATAGTAGTAATGATAATAATAATGCTTTTATCAATAATAAGGATGAAAAAGTGAGGCAATCTGTGATAACATGAATAATAATGGTTTGGCAAAGAACAGACAAAAACAATCCGTAGCTCAATTTTGTCACACTCAATTGATAGTGGTCATGTAATCGAGAAAACTAGAGCCTTCAAAGTGATTCATCGTATCCCACCTAATCTTTCCAATAGACTTCGTATTCGTTTACTGTACACAGCTCAGGCGATAGGTATTCGAACTATTAAACCTAAACTATGTATTCAAAAAAAGTTCGTACAGCCATTATCTCTCCCTTGTTGGCCTATTAAGACATAACCAACTAATGACTTCTACACCACCCTCTGTTTATATTTTCAACCCCTTTCTTATCATCCCTTAATCTTATCTTCATTATAAACGTGTTTCATTTCCTTCCCTTACAATCTAACATTACTTAATCGGTTCGTTTGTTTTTACTAGCCTTTATCGACTACTTCCACCTGAACATTTGTTTGTTTAATCATGCTGTTTTTCATTATTCGTGTTATCACAGATTGCCTCACTTTTTCATCCTTATTATTGATAAAAGCATTATTATTATCATTACTACTATTGTGACTATTTGCACAATTTTATATTCACCATCGTATTATCCTATAGACAAAACACCATGATTGGTTTATATTTGAATTTTTATTTGTAAACTTATATATATATTAGAGTTAAGCCTGATGAGATCTAATTGAAAACAATATTGTTCGCTTAAATGTGTTGTTCTAAATTTTACTATGGGAATATTTAGTATATAATAATTTTAACAAAATCAGACGGCACCAAAGCACTGTAGGCTTGCAGATCATTTTCCGTAGCAATGATATGTACCATAAAGTGTAACCAATTTACATCAATCCTCCAAAGTATTTTATATACATATACCGGCGAGAATTTGGTCGAAGGAAAGATAACTTCCATTACAAACTGTGATCAACCAACAAAAGTTTTGAAAACTAAGACAAAGTGTGAACTAGTGGAATTAACTGGGTATTCAAAAACTCAACTAGTTTTCCAACAACTGTGTTGAGATGAAGCCTAAGACAAGTGGGGGGAGGGACCCTATATTTTGGTAGGGAAACCTACTCACAGGTGGTGAGTGATATATAGTGTGAGTTGGTGAAAGTTAGAAAGCAATAGTTACTAGTTAAAAATTAACATGTTACCTGGAGGATCTAACTGTTTTCATCTTAATCCCTTCCAAAGCCAAGTGCTGACAGGGCACAAACCAAGAAAACTTTGTTATACAGTGTTCCAAGACAGACAATGGAAACGTCTATCTTGAAGTCACCTTAAACTCCGTAAATTTAACCACTTAAATGAGTTACTCGCCTATAATATTGACTGGCGGTTGCGTTATGCGTATCAAGAATTGGCAGAATTCGGAATTAACGAGCCATTAGATTGGGTCCCAGCGCCTGAATGGTTTACGAGCTCGTCAATCCGTAAAATGGCCTTGTAACTAGTAGGTCCTAAATTCAAACCCCAGAGACTGCATACTGATGAAGAGTTCAAAACTAGGACGAAACAACCGTTCAATACTCCCTAGTTTACTAATGGTTCTAAAACTGATCTTAGCTCGTGATTCAAAAGTCGAACCAGTGAAATTCTTGCAAGCTAACACTTGACACTTAAAACATTGTGGTAATATTCTCACTTCTCCTGTAGCGTGATGCGGATTGTCAGGATTTGGTCAAAACTGAAATCAATATTTTAAGTCAGTGGCTGCAGAGTTCAACGTTTTGGACATGAAATGTCCTTATTGGATAACTTGTTCAACCTTGGACTGATTGTCAACCAATCAGAACAATTTATTCTCCTCTGACCTAGACAAACTTTAGTGTTACACTTCAACTTTTACATATCCAATATAAGAAAAGAATTTACATATTTTTTTAAAGAAGTCAGTATATATTTCTATTTATTTTTATTTTTTTTAATTCTTAATAATCTTGGCGTAATGTTCATGCAAAAAGTCACATCTAGAACATAAAATTTATCTAAATTTCGAAAATTCATACTTAGTTCAAAAGAAGAAAGGGGAAGAGAGAAATGGGTCAATCAATATATGTGTGGATAAGCAGAACAAGACCAACAACATCGAATGAACTAGTTCTCATCTTCCTTGTGCTCTCACTTTCCGTTTCTCTCCATTCTTCCTGTTTTTCTGTCGTGCACATAAGTAACTGCCGAAACGAGGACAAACAAGGAGCTGACGTCAAATATTTGCAGACCCTTACATCAGTATTATTAGTATATACACAGTTCAAAAGAATGAGGATGACAAATGTGTCAATGGATACACAATTAAGCAATAAGCTGTAGATAGAATTATGCATTAAAACACGTAAATACACGGAGGTTTGGTTTTGCTTTAATTTTTGTTGTTGAAAAAAAAGAATTTTGTACAGAAAAAAAGCAAATGAATCTTCTGTCTTTTGAATAGAGAAAACAAAAATAAACGGCGTCGATTAAAACAAACTTTCATAATAATAGTAATAATAATTATAATAAATAAAAACAAAGTGTTGTACAAGAAATGCTTTTGTTTTCTTCTCCTTCTTTTGACTGAATTAAACTGCCCGCGAAACAAGACTTTGAATAAATCAAAATATATATATAAAGCGGGAATTCAAACCTACTCGTTGTAGAACAAACGTAGGATTGATAAAGTAGAATGCAAAGTGGAAAATATTATCATTTTTACTGAACAGATTACTGAACAGATCCTAGGAGCAGTAGTAATAATAGTAGTGTTAATAGTAAGGATTTTTGCTATTATATTCTACAAAGAAATGAGTTCAATGCCACTGGATATCGACTTGACTAACATTACCATCAGCGACATCGCCATCATGTGTTGTTGGGTTGTACAAATGAAGATGAAGAAGAAATTAAATTTGTGGATAATTTTCTATCATGACCTAATCTCTCTAGTCGATTAATTGAATTGGTATAATTTCGATATCTATCCGTATTTAACTGGGCATTTGAATTCTCTGCTAACACTGGCAATCGATCTCGTGTAGAGCCAAGCTTTTGTGATGATATTTGCCGACGTGTATTCCAATCAGTAATAAATGATCTACTCTGTAGTGGGTTGATTCCATTCCCGGGTTTATGAATTGTATCATCAAATGCTGGATCCATTGAAGATGAAGGCCGATATCCGATTGATAAGGCATCTTTTAAGGGTTTTTTTAATAGAAAGATTGAAAAGAAGATATTATTTGAAGTAGAAATGTTATACAATTATCAGAAAAATAGTTATTTTTATAATGTTTGTTGTACAGATTTCATCACATAATCAAAATAAGTTCTGCAGTCTCTGAGAACGAAGAAGCACTTGGTAACTGTACCATTAGAAATGAATTGTGGTACTGATTTGTCACACATTAACAGAAGTTAGAATTCATGGGTCGATGGAGTACAGTTTGTAAGCTTCGGTGCTCAATGCGGTCATGGATGTTTCTGGTGAACAAGCGCTCCAACAAGGACATTACATTTATCTGATTGGACACTAGTCAGTAACTAGTGCAAATCAGTTTCAGAAAGTGAATTTCATCGCGAATTAACTTTACTTAATTACGAAATCATTAAAAACTAGGAAGCTGGAGATTTATATTAAAAATTTTTTTATTCCTTTACGTTCCCTCAGTGGAACATACGGCTTCAAGCTAGAGGCTTGAAGTTTCTGTAGCAGTGGTGTTTATTTTTACAAAATGGAGTTGTTAGCCTCACTTTTGAATTGTGGTCGCACATATACAGAGGCTTCTTTCTTGTCCACGTGTTTACTGGTGAATGTTTCAAGGGAACTATTTTCAACTAACATGTAGTATAAAACTTTAAGTTTGACTTCAATCTCATCTTCTGAAAAAACAGCTCGAACCATATATCCGAGGGTCTTAACCAAATTCTATGGAGAGTGTGAATTAAAATTTCAAGCCAGTTATGTTTACCTAGGTGATTTGAAATGTGTGTCTGAGCTTACACACCGGTTAGACAGAGCATACTGATCGAAAGATAACCCATCATGTCCTGTTTTTGTATGCATTTTGTTGCTGCCATTTGAAGTCAAGTTAAGTATAAGAAAAGGCTGACTCCTACTATAACCTACGATATTTCTGATTGTGGGAGACTGGATAATGGGGCTGACCATTGAAGGGGTGAGGGTAAGGAGACAGGAAAATGTAGAGTCGACAAGAAGACTGTAGAAGATTTATACTTCACGGACGACTTATGTTTAATGTCGCACAAATCTGACGATTTACAGACATAGTCCATCAAGATGGTGGAAGAATCGGCGAAGACAAAGTTTCAAATGGGCACACCAATCAACCAACCAACAACATCAACAAGCATCAGTCACCATCAACCGAAGGAACTTGAATCGGGTCACTTGTTTCATTTCTTTCGGTAGCGTTGTTCTGAACTACAGGTGAAGTAGATACGGATGTCAAGAGCGGGATTGGAAAAGCAAGACAAACCTTTATCAATCTGGAATCATTGTGGGATTATGCTTTGCTTAGTGTGAGGCATAAGTTAGGGATTACGAATGTACCAGAGAGTATGTGGTCTGATTAACAGCGAGTTGACAGATATCCTTCTCGTGTTAACTCCAACTGTGTATACGAATTTACTTGTATCTGCGGTAGCAGTTACATCGGGAAAACTGAAAGTAGGTCACACCATCAATTTCCTGAAAATCTACCAGAAAGCCTACGTCACAAAAGGACAAGCGTTTATAATAGTACCATTACCAGACATCTCATCAATACGGGTCATGAGGTGGACATCACGGAGTCCTTTAAAATTATCAGTAGACAAAATAGTTCAATTCACCTCAATTTTGCCAAAGCAACTGCTATCAGCCGTCTAAAAGTCAATTTACGTGTTCAAAAAGAAGCAGTTATCGGTCTTTCCTTGCCCTGGTAACAGGATGTCTTTACTCTCTCTCTGTTCCATTTGATTACGTAATCTTCGGCTTTAACCTCTCCCCCTTCTTTTGATAAAGTATAGTTCTGCTTGTCTCTTGTCTCTATGATCTGAGTTGAACCCGCCATACTGATATTCATTTTATTAGGTACTAGTTACGAGGAAGTCAAATCGAGAATCGGGAAGGAGAGAAACACATTCATCAACCTGAAACCAATCTGGAAATCTTCGTCACTCAACTCAGCATAAACAACAAAATTCGGATTTTCAATACAAACGTCAAGTCAGTCAGTTCTTCTATACGGATCAGAAACTTGGCGGGTCACAAAGAATATTTCCAACAGCCTGTTGCAGACCTTTATCAACAAATGTCTTTGGTCTATACTGAAGATCAGATGGCCAGAAGGAATCACCAACAAGAAACTATGGAAACAAACAAAACAAGAATCAATCACCCAACAAATACGCAGGAGAAAGTGGAGATGGATTGGACACTTGCTGAGGAGGCCGCTGCGGGGTGACATCGTACGTCAGACCCTCGAGTGGAACCCGAAAGGGAAGTGGCGAGTGGGACGTCCAAGGGTGACATGGAGAAGATCGTGTGAAGAAGAGTTGAAGCAGAATGGACTAACATGGACGCAAGTGAAAAGTACAGCACAAGACAGAAGCAAGTGGAGACGTGCAGTTGAAGCCCTATGTTCCACTAGGAACCCAAGGGAACAGTAATAATAATAAACTTCCATTATTGCGTAACCCCATCACCATCTTGTTCAAGCATTTATTTTTGTTTAAACTTGAAGTTCCTGTGTACAAGCTATGCAGCTGAAAATTCTAAGGACTGTTTATTAAGTTTGGAGTCTCCTATCACTAAGTGACATTATGTAATATCTGCGAGTATGTTAAAACTGTTCTGAACATAAGCTTGAATAATTTCTGTAGGCCACATGCAGCTGATGAGAAGCCAGTGGAATAAATAATGGTACCATCTTTTTCTGTGCACACTGTTATTCTTGCTTTACTCATATATGTATATATGTATATATATAATCAGCGAAACTGAGGACTGATAGGATAATAGCAATGATTTTGGTAAAAACTGGAATGATGTGGAAATCTTATTAATGATGACATGCAAACCAACCACCTCCGGAGAACTAGCCTAGTAATTTATATTCATTCCAGAAGACATAATAATTTTAGAACAACACATTTAAGCGAACAATATTGTGCTTTCAATTAGATCTCATCAGGCTTAACTCTAATATATATATAAGCTTACAAATAAAAATTCAAATATAAACCAATCATGGTGTTTTGTCTATAGGATAATACGATGGTGAATATAAAATTGTGCAAATAGTCATAATAGTAGTAATGATAATAATAATGCTTTTATCAATAATAAGGATGAAAAAGTGAGGCAATCTGTGATAACATGAATAATAATGGTTTGGCAAAGAACAGACAAAAACAATCCGTAGCTCAATTTTGTCACACTCAATTGATAGTGGTCATGTAATCGAGAAAACTAGAGCCTTCAAAGTGATTCATCGTATCCCACCTAATCTTTCCAATAGACTTCGTATTCGTTTACTGTACACAGCTCAGGCGATAGGTATTCGAACTATTAAACCTAAACTATGTATTCAAAAAAAGTTCGTACAGCCATTATCTCTCCCTTGTTGGCCTATTAAGACATAACCAACTAATGACTTCTACACCACCCTCTGTTTATATTTTCAACCCCTTTCTTATCATCCCTTAATCTTATCTTCATTATAAACGTGTTTCATTTCCTTCCCTTACAATCTAACATTACTTAATCGGTTCATTTGTTTTTACTAGCCTTTATCGACTACTTCCACCTGAACATTTGTTTGTTTAATCATGCTGTTTTTCATTATTCGTGCTATCACAGATTGCCTCACTTTTTCATCCTTATTATTGATAAAAGCATTATTATTATCATTACTACTATTGTGACTATTTGCACAATTTTATATTCACCATCGTATTATCCTATAGACAAAACACCATGATTGGTTTATATTTGAATTTTTATTTGTAAACTTATATATATTAGAGTTAAGCCTGATGAGATCTAATTGAAAGCACAATATTGTTCGCTTAAATGTGTTGTTCTAAATTTTACTATGGGAATATTTAATATATAATAATTTTAACAAAATCAGACGGCACCAAAGCACTGTAGGCTTGCAGATCATTTTCCGTAGCAATGATATGTACCATAAAGTGTAACCAATTTACATCAATCCTCCAAAGTATTTTATATACATATACCGGCGAGAATTTGGTCGAAGGAAAGATAACTTCCATTACAAACTGTGATCAACCAACAAAAGTTTTGAAAACTAAGACAAAGTGTGAACTAGTGGAATTAACTGGGTATTCAAAAACTCAACTAGTTTTCCAACAACTGTGTTGAGATGAAGCCTAAGACAAGTGGGGGGAGGGACCCTATATTTTGGTAGGGAAACCTACTCACAGGTGGTGAGTGATATATAGTGTGAGTTGGTGAAAGTTAGAAAGCAATAGTTACTAGTTAAAAATTAACATGTTACCTGGAGGATCTAACTGTTTTCATCTTGATCCCTTCCAAAGCCAAGTGCTGACAGGGCACAAACCAAGACAACATTGTTATACAGTGTTCCAAGACAGACAATGGAAACGTCTACCTTGAAGTCACCTTAAACTCCGTAAATTTAACCACTTAAATGAGTTAATCGCCTATAATATTGACTGGCGGTTGCTTTCTGTATATCAGGAATTGGCAGAATTCGGAATTAACGAGCCATTAGATTGGGTCCCAGCGCCTGAATGGTTTACGAGCTCGTCAATCCGTAAAATGGCCTTGTAACTAGTAGGTCCTAAATTCAAACCCCAGAGACTGCATACTGATGAAGAGTTCAAAACTAGGACGAAACAACCGTTCAATACTCCCTAGTTTACTAATGGTTCTAAAACTGATCTTAGCTCGTGATTCAAAAGTCGAACCAGTGAAATTCTTGCAAGCTAACACTTGACACTTAAAACATTGGGGTAATATTCTCACTTCTCCTGTAGCGTGATGCGGATTGTCAGGATTTGGTCAAAACTGAAATCAATATTTTAAGTCAGTGGCTGCAGAGTTCAACGTTTTGGACATGAAATGTCCTTATTGGATAACTTGTTCAACCTTGGACTGATTGTCAACCAATCAGAACGATTTATTCTCTTCTGACCTAGACAAACTTTAGTGTTACACTTCAACTTTTACGTATCCAATATAAGAAAAGAATTTACATATTTTTTTAAAGAAGTCAGTATATATTTCTATTTATTTTTATTTTTTTTAATTCTTAATAATCTTGGCGTAATGTTCATGCAAAAAGTCACATCTAGAACATAAAATTTATCTAAATTTCGAAAATTCATACTTAGTTCAAAAGAAGAAAGGGGAAGAGAGAAATGGGTCAATCAATATATGTGTGGATAAGCAGAACAAGACCAACAACATCGAATGAACTAGTTCTCATCTTCCTTGTGCTCTCACTTTCCGTTTCTCTCCATTCTTCCTGTTTTTCTGTCGTGCACATAAGTAACTGCCGAAACGAGGACAAACAAGGAGCTGACGTCAAATATTTGCAGACCCTTACATCAGTATTATTAGTATATACACAGTTCAAAAGAATGAGGATGACAAATGTGTCAATGGATACACAATTAAGCAATAAGCTGTAGATAGAATTATGCATTAAAACACGTAAATACACGGAGGTTTGGTTTTGCTTTAGTTTTTTTTGAAAACGAATTTTGTACAGTAAAAAGAAACAAAAGAATCTTTTGTCTTTTGAATAGAGAAGACAAAAATAAACGGCGTCGATTAAAACAAACTTTCATAATAATAATCATAATTATAATAAATAAAAACAAAGTGTTGTACAAGAAATGCTTTTGTTTTCTTCTCCTTCTTTTGACTGAATTAAACTGCCCGCGAAACAAAACTTTGAATAAATCAAAATATATATATTTAAAGCGGGAATTCAAACCTACTCGTTGTAAAAAACAAAAGTAGGATTGATAAAGTAGAATGCAAAGTGGAAAATATTATCATTTTTACTGAACAGATTACAATGATCCTAGGAGCAGTAGTAATAATAATAGTGTTAATAGTAAGGAATTTTGCTATTATATTCTACACAGAAATGAATTCAATGCCACTGGATGTTGACTTGACTAACATCACCATCAGCGACATCGCCATCATGTGTTGTTGGGTTGTACAAATGAAGATGAAGAAGAAATTAAATTCGTGGATAATTTTCTATCATGACCTAATCTCTCCAGTCGATTAATGGAATTGGCATAATTCTGATATCTATCCGTATTTAACTGGACATTTGAATTCTCTGCTAATACTGGCAATCGATCTCTTGTAGAGCCAAGCTTTTGTGATGATATTTGCCGACGTGTATTCCAATCGGTAATAAATGATCTACTCTGTAGTGGGTTGATTCCATTGCCGGGTTTATGAATTGTATCATCAAATGCTGGATCCATTGAAGATGAAGGCCGATATCCGATTGATAAGGCATCTTTTAAGGGTTTTTTTAATAGAAAGATTGAAAAGAAGATATTGTTTCAAGTAGAAATTTCATACAATTATCAGAAAAACTATTTTCTATAGTTTTTGTTTTGTAAGGATTAGTTATGTTTTACGAGTTGATCACGGAGTGATATCAGTTAGAGAACCAATGAAAACCAGCACTGGAGTACTGGACAGCTGCTGTTCCATCCTAGTTTGGGAATCATCGGCAGTACGCACCCACTGGGATTCGAACCCAGGACCTTCCGGTTACAAGGCAAGCTCGTATACCATTTAGCCACTGGGACCCGATTCAATGACCAGTCCATGAATTCTAACTACTACCAATTCGTGATTGAGCGAGACCCCAACCAAGGTCGTTGGTGGGACATCCATCCACACACGTGACATCTAATTGGACCTCACTGGTCACGACTTGTCACTAGAACTCCAGGAAGCTCCGACCTGTAGCAAGTCACCAGTGAGCATCAGAATAATTTTCTATAGTTTTTGGTTTGTAAGGATTAGTTGGGGTCGCGCTAAAATCACGAATTGGTAGAAGTTAGAATTCATGGACTGGTCATTGAATCGGGTCCCAGTGGCTAAATGGTATACGAGCTTGCCTTGTAACCGGAAGGTCCTGGGTTCGAATCCCAGTGGGTGCGTACTGCCGATGATTCCCAAACTAGGATGGAACAGCAGCTGTCCAGTACTCCAGTGCTGGTTTTCAATGGTTCTCTAACTGATATCACTCCGTGATCAACTCGTAAAAGAAAAACTATTGTTTTTGAAATGCTTGTTGTACAGATTTCATCAGGTAATCAAAATAAGTTCTGCAGTTCCTGAGAATGAAGAAGCACTTGGCAACTGTACCATTAGAAAGGAATTGTGGTACTGATTTGTCATACATTAATAGAAGTTAGAATTCATGGGTGCGTCGGTGGCATAGCGGCTAGGACGCTCGCCGACCATGCACATGGTCCGGGGTTCGATCCCCGGCCGACGCACTCCTTTACCTCGCTAGGCCAGTAATAGAAGCTGATGAAGGGGAAAGGTTGGGCATGAGGCTAGCAACCCCATCCTGTAAAAATAAACACTGCTACAGAAACTTCAGGCCTCTAGCTTGAAGCTCTATGTTCCACTGGGAACGTGAAGGAATAAAAAAAAAAGAATTCATGGGTCGATGGAGTACAGTCTGTAAGTTTCGGTCGTTAGTGCAGTCATGGATGTTTCTGGTGAACAAACTCTCCAACAAGGATATCACATTTATTTGATTGAACACTAGTCAGTAACTGGTGCAAATCAGTTTCAGTATGTGAGTTTCATTGCGAATTAACTTTACTTAATTACGAAATCATTAAAAACTAGGAAGTTGGAGAATGATATTAAAAATTTTTTTTATTCCTTTACTTTCTCTCAGTGGAACAAATGGCTTCAAGCTAGAGGCTTGGAGTTGCTGTAGCAGTGTGATTATTTTTACAGGATGGGGTTGCTAGCCTCATACGCAACCTTCCCTCTTTACCAGTATTATTACTGGCTTAGACAGGTGGAGGAGTGGGTCGACGGCCGGAGATCGAGGCCCGGACCAGCTGCGTGGTCGGCGAGCACTCTAACACTGTGCCACTGACGCACTGAGATTTTGATATTTAGATTATGAATTTCGTGGGAACTTGGACAGATGCTCTAAAGTTTTAATGAAGAGTCGTAGCTGGTGTGGTTCCCTAAATCAGGCGAAGCGGATAGTCATTGATAATACTGGTTGGTGAAGGAGTTATGCTGCTAATTGATAGATGTTAGAATTCCAATGGTTCTCTAAATGATGTCAGCTCATGTTGAAATCCTCCAACCAATTAAACGGAATCCCGATAAAATCAATACTTGAAAATTAATCTAATGCTCACTGGCGACTGGCCGTATTCAGGCAGTTAACCTGGGGTTCTAGTGGGAAGCTGTGACCAGTACGGTACATCAGGTTGAAGGTGAGGCAGTAACTCATCGAAGAAGACATTGTGAAGTGGTCGCGCTATTTCGTAAATTGGCGGAAGTTGGAATTCATGGACTGGCCATTATTGGATCGGGTCCCAGTGGCTTATTGGTCTGTGAGCTCGCTAGCCTTGTAACCAGAAGGTTCTGGGTTCGAGCCCAATTGGGGTGGGTGCTTACTGATGAAGAAACCCTAAATGGGGCGGAACAGCTGTCCATTACTCCCTGCAGGTTTTCCGATGGTTCTAAAACTCATGTCAGCTGATGATGAAATCCTCCAACCAATTCACAAATCACTGAATCCAGATTCGGTGTCTAATAGCCATCGAGGTAGCCACATGACCAATACCTCCTGAGTCCCATAATCTAAATAAGTTGAGGCACGGAAAATAAATCTATGCAACCATAAACACTATGCTAAATGCAGTGAGCTTTAATAAGCCGGTTGGAATAATATTCTGACTTGGTTAGTGTGCTGACTGATTGTATGGCTGACACAGTACATGATAATTCAGACATATTTCGTGATTGAAACTATCCTCTGTTGAAAAGGCACAACTGAAGTGAACGATTACTCACCTTATGAATAAACTTCGAAAAACAGAATCACATACCGCCACCAAGTAAATGACTCGACATAAAAGTGGTATATAATTCATACAAGGTACTTTGGTTGAATACTAGGCAGTAAGCAACTATTGGTTATGCGTCTAGTCCATTGTTTCGTGTAGACCGAATTCTATCAGTCAAGTTTGCAATGTGGCCACCATGCCACTACTAACTTGCTCACCATCACGGGACACTCAGGATTGTTGTTATTAGATGATTGGAGGCAATCGGCAGGAAGCCTTGGACGTGAGTTTCGTGCTCGTTGACACTCGTCAGCAAGAGGTGTCTGCAAGCTTCAATGAGTTCATGTCCTCTGTGGGATTCGAACCTGTGTCACCCAGTGCTACACCCAGAAAGGTTACCACCTGAGTTATTCTGGCCCGAGTAGGTCGAGTGCCAACAAGCACGAAACCTAGGTCAACCAAAGCTTCCTACCGGTTGCCTTCAAGCACCTAACAACACCAATTTATGTAAGGGTTGGAAGAAAATCTTAGCACTCAGCTGGATGACGAATAGGATACACAACGGCGAAATCTATTGTCAGATTAAGTGTGGAAAAGATTTGTACATCAGGGGGATGTTTGAATTGCACAACTCTGATCATCCATCATAGACCATGCCTTCAGAGGTAACATCAATATGAAAAGTAAGTGCTGTTGGTAATTTCTAGATGAATGATGCAAAACATTTGCAGCTGAAGTGTCCAACTCAGAGAATAAATGAGAACACGAAAAAGCTTCAGCGTTTCAAAATATCAACTTCAGCTTCTGTGTAACCACAGTCTACTACGCTTTCTTCTTCAATAAACCATAAACAAGAGGAAAATAACTCAGCGAAGAAACACATTAACTCACCATGACTTGTTGATGAAGTTGCTTTCATGTCAGTTGGCAAACCAGCACAATTCTGTGGACGATTATCATAACACGCAGCGTTGTATACATGAGGTGTTGGGAAAAGAAAATTACTGCTAACACCTTGTGCAAGATAATCATCTGACATTGAAATTGAATCAGTTTTCTGTTCACCAGTATGATAGTGTTCATTAATTAGGTAAGATTCTGAACCATCATTCAATGTACCAACAACTTTATTTCTTGGAAGTGAACTGACAGGATGCGTCGTTTTCTGAAAAAACAAAATCAATAGAATATTTCTGATAGTTTATACCTCAGAAAAAAGTTTGAAAATCTAACACATATATACGTTAGGACCGAAGAGATTTCTGTGTTAGATGTGAATTCATGATTTATGCATACCTTAACATGGTAAGCATGTTGGATAAATTTTGATTGGTTAATTTATGGCTTAGATTTCTGAGGTTTTGTAAATTCAAACCCATATATATATATACTATGTGTTTTATCTAATGAAGTTTGTCATTTTGATTGAACACTATTAACTAGTGGGGTGTGTCTAGTTCTTTCTTTAGTACAGGCTGAATTCTGTCAGTCAGGTTTGCAATGTGGCTATCATTCTAGGTAGCTCACAATCATGGTGCACATTGATTTGATGATATTAGATGATTGGAGGCAATAGGCAGGAAGTCTCGCCTCACCCAGGTTTCGTGCTAGTTGGCACTCACCAGTCAGCAAGGCGTATCTGCAACTAGCTTGAAGGAACTCATATCACTTCTGAGATTTGAACCAGCGTCGTCTAGTGTCGCAGTCAGAGATATTACCACTGAGCTATTTGGGATCGCGACTAAACTCATATAGGAATGGAAGTCCTAGAATCTAGTCTGCGCCAAAAAAGGACTAGACACATCACACTAGTTAGCAGTGTCCAGTCAAAATATCCACTACAGCCCTACAGGAGGTTGATCGCAAGCCTGAATAGCTCAGTGGTAATGTCTCTGACTGATTGCAGCACTGAGTGATGTGGGTTTGAATCTCAGAAGGGACATGAATTCCTTCAAGCTGGTTGCACATGCGCCTTCCTGACTATTGAGTGCCAACTAGCATTAAACTTAGGTTAGATGAGGCTTCCTGTGGCCGATTGCCTCCAACCATCTAATATCATCAAAGTTTGTCATTGTTAATGGAAATAAAACACGGAGTTCAGCTAAGAGGCACTTTTCGGTAAAATTCATTTTCGTCGTTAGTTACACAATCGCATTTGTATACATTTTTTCCCATGGAAAAGGGTAGTCACAAAGGTGATGAGTTGTCAGAAACGTAGTAATTAAGAACAGTAAATGCTTAAGACAAGTTGAATGATTGCATTGGTGTTATGTAATATGATGAATAATTTAATGAATGACCTGTGATCAGGATGCTCATAGAAGAGAAGGAAAACACGGAATTGTGTAAGAATTCTAAATAAATACAACAGTTATGAACAGTTAGAAAAACAATAAACGAACAAAAATCAATTCAGTAGAAGCAGTGCGATAATTGGACACCTTGTCAACACTACTCATTCCGTCTAAACAAAAGCGTCCTTCAAATTAATCTACAAAATGAAGAGCAACTTACTAAGGACAGTATGCACTCGTTTTGCCTGAGCAGTCCTGAAGCTTTAGCCCTCTCAGTCAGAGGAACTGGAGCCTTTGGCTTGAAGCCCTATGTTCCAATAGGAACGTAATGGGAACTTGCGATTTAATTACTTTATCTCGGAAGAGTTTAGTCACTGTCTCGTGAGCATGAGTACATAGGAGATCAAAGAAACTGGTCACTTCAATGAAACCTCAACCATTTCACCTTCAGGGATGAATGTGTTTATCCGTACTGACTGAAGCAGATTGTGGACTACTGGACATTGAGCGGACAACAACGCGGTTGCTGTATTGTGGTGTGATTGTGTATTTATATATTCTCTTTATACTAGCGTTAAGAGAAACATCCTTGAACAGCTGTAAATACTATATTCTCCCGTCACCAAGTGGGACAATGTTAAGAACAACCTGACCATCAGATTAGGTGTACGAGGTTAAAGAATCAGCAGGTAGTGTGATCAAAGCTCAGGTAAAGCGGGATAAACGGCCACACACCAATTATGAGCGTTATTTCTAATTGAAAGCAACTGAAAACGAGGTCAGAGCCGTTCAAACAACTTAACTAACTGACTTTCTAGAAGTATTAACGTCCACAATACACTCATTTAAAGCGATGATCTTGACAATAAATCGTAAGATATAAGTGGATTCGATTTATTACCCTATATCAGCTGAACAACTAGTGAAAGTGGATGATCACTAGATAATTATCTCTCTCTAGTCTGTAACTCTTTTCATCAGTGGTCACGGGTGATATGGGTAGGAAGACAAAAATGCCACAACCCAATATTTCATAATTCCTAAGTTCTTCCTTGTTTGCCTATATTAAATAAAGCGTACTATTATTACGTTTATTCCCCTGAGTTCTGAATGGAACACAGAGCTGCAACAACAGATCTCCATTTCATCCTGTCCACTGCCGTCCTTTGCTCCATATCCCCCTTGAACCCATGCCAAACTAGTTGTTTTTCATTCAGGCTTCACTTGAGCAGTGACCTGGTGTGTGTATGCCCTCTGTAATTCATCACACTCAGTAAGACTGGAACTATAATGTAACTGCATTTGAAAACTAAGAGAAATTGACTTCAAACCTAATGAGTGAATACGAAACTGATGGCTCTAAGTGGATTCTCCGATCAAGTAGGAAACATATACATTGGTGGAAAGTTCAAATTACACAGAAACAGTTTCAATTGGTGTCTTTATGCTAAAAAATCTACATGTGCTGATGTTCTCATGTTAAACATAAGCAGATTAACGAAGATATTTACTGTCGGTATTAAATGGTTGGAGGCAATCGGCCACAGGAAGCCTCACCTGACCTAGGTTTCATGCTAGTTGGCACTCACTAGTCAGCAAGGCTTATCTGCAACCTCGAAGGAACTCATTTCCCTTCTGAGATTGGAACTCACGTCGCCCAGTGTTGCAGTCAGAGATGTTACCACTGAGCTATTCGGGGTCGCGATTGACCTCCTGTCGAACTGTATTGGATATTATTGATTGGACACTAGTTACTGAGTAATGTACAGGCATTGATTTATATATATATATATAAACACTTACTGTTTGAGCAGTTCCTTTATTTGAAGATTTATTCCTTCTTTTGAAATATTTTTTCCTGAAAAAAAATTAACATCAAAATTATTGATATTTCGCAAACCTTGAAAATGATATACACAATCATTTTTACTAATGTTTGCGTGTAAGTTAACAAACAGATGTCTTTCTATAGCCTCTGTACAGTGTTTCCTTTTGTCTATGATTTAAGCAGATTTTCAGTGTAAAATAAATTCCTTCACGACTATACCGATCACTGCTGAAGGTGAAGACCACACCGAGTTTTCCACAGTCTCTTCACTGATGATTTAAGGCACTAGAATACATTTAGGTCTATAAAGTATCAAGTTTAGGGAAGCGAATATATGACAGTTATTCAATAAGTTAGATGGCATACCCTTAGACACCAGCTGACAAGAAGACTTCGGAAGATGATGACTTCGCCGACAACTTTTGTCGAATGTCATATAAACTCGAATACCTACAGTCAAAAACCAGCTCATCTGAGGAAGAATCACAGAAGACAGGAATTCAAGTGGACATAGAGAAGACAAAGGTGATGAAGATAGCCAACAAACTGACCAACAACAACCAGTCACTACAAACCGAAGAAATCTGAACGAGGCAACCTGTTTCACTAATCTGGGCTAAATCCTTTCAGTCCTACAGGCAGTCGATATACATGAGGATGTCAAAACCAGCCAAGATCGGAGAGGCAATGCAGACATTCATCATTCTGAAATCAGTGTGGAAATCTTCCGCACTGTACATAAAAAAAACAAAATTCGAATTTTCAACACCAATGTTAAATCAGTCATTTCTCCGATATGGGTCAGAGACATGGCGAGCGCCTCACAAATAGCATTTCTAACAGGCCCCTACAGACTTTCATCAACACCTGTCTTCTCTGGCTCCGTAATGAAGATCAGATGGCCAGCCAGAAAGAATTAGCAACAAGAAACTCTGGAAACGAACGAACCAACCAAGAACCTATTGCTCAAAAAATATGCTGAAGAAAATGGAGGCGGGTCATACACAGGCTGAAGAGACTGCTGAATGACATCGCGCTGTGGAGCAGAACTCAAGGGTGACATGGGTGTGATCGTGTGTGGAGGAGGTGACAACCTATGCCCAATCGTGAGACCATCTGGAAGATGACTACAGGGAACACGACGAAGTGCAATTGTGTTGCTGAAGCCCTATGTTCCACTCGGAACCCAAGGGAACAATAATAATACTAATAAATAGACAAGTGTATTGTTGGTTTTAAAACTCTATTCAATTTGTAACATTCATTCTTAATTCTAGAGTATTCCTTAATCCTTTTTATACATCCTGACGAACCTAACAGTGACCTTTATCACTACCCATAATTTTTTATTTTTTTATTACTTTATTCCTTAACGTCCCAAGTGGAAGATAGGAGTTCAGATTAGAGCTTTGGAGTTTCGTTAGCAGTAGAGCCAACCAAGAAGGTGAATAGTAGACCGTCGAATGACATCACAAGCTAGACTATTGCTTAAGTGGAAGCCAACTAAGAAAACGACGAGTTGGACATCGGAGGGTGACATGGGGACGATCATGTGAGGAGGAGATGAAGGCATATGGAGGATAGTGTGGCTAGCTAAAGAGGAGTTCAGAGGACAGATTGGAATGTTAATAGGCTTCTGAAGCTCTACATTCGACTTGTATCCTGAGGGAACAATAATAATAATGATAATAATAATAGTAGTATAAAGCATAAGCAAAGCCCCTGCACGAAACACCATAACATTCAGAAACAAATAAAAAATTCAGACAACATAGTAAAACTTTTCACAACACATAAATCCACTGAAAAAGCAATACAATACAATACAATACAAAAATTTTTTTAAAAAAATAGACAACATACTGCATACTTCGTTGTTGACATTTCCATATACCATAGAATGTCAATACACTGATAGATGCACCGAATAGGGTAAAAAAGATACCACGTAGTGTCAGAGTTGTAGCTAATTCATGCAGCATAGTTTGTAAATCATTTTCACGGGATTCAGCAAATGCTAATTCAGTGTAGAATAGGAAGGAAGATAAAATAAATAAACAATAAAGGTAAACAGAAAGGAGACAACAATGATGGTGAGGACAACATCAACGTCGGTGACAGCAACAACGACAGCAACAACAACACACACTCACACTCACACACACAAACACTAACACAACACTTCAAAACACAAAGAAAACACACATCAAGCATGATTAAACCATTTGAGTAGAAATGTTTAAGTGCTTATAACTGTTTACATTTTAGGAAAACAGTCAACGACAATAAAAGCAAATATCCCCTTTTAGATATTGAGTGAGACGTTTAAAATCACCAATTATAGAGATGAGATAATCGGGGGAATACACAAAAGGTATAGTTAATATCTTTGAACATAACAATATCCATATATATTAAATTACGACAGCCAGTGAGATTGAATCAGTGACTAAAGAGTAGAAATTAATGGTCAGTTCGAAGTGAATTATCTGTGAATGCGGAACGAAGAGTTGCGACTAAGATGTGTCGAGTCATTTATATACCATTACTTATTTAGTTTCCATTTTCACAGGAGAGAGAATTTATTCTCAGCCCACAAATCACCTCAGACTTAAGTGCAAATCAAACACCTTCTTGAGTTCATCACATTAATGCCTTTATTTCAATCCTAAACTGTCAATATTTACCAGTAGATGAACAGATATCCTTACAGAGTATATAGGAGTTCAATTTAGACGCTGAGTCACTTTCTTTTCAACAAACTAAGTTGCAATTCTTAATTCTTCTTATCTATAACAACAAGTGGGAAATTATTTGAGAAATTAAATGCCTTATGGATTTCCATTAAGATGAACTCATATTGAAAGAGTTAAGCGACACAGTCTTTTTTAATTGCCTTCGTCGATCGATGATTATTTGCCTTCTAGAATCGATTACTAATAGAAATTGATATTGTTACATATTACAATGTATCAACATGCAAATTCAGTCTCTTTCAAACCTGTAATGAACTGGTTGAGAGTATAAGGATATAGTAGATGAGGGAATGCTCTATAAACCTGGATATTCATCCTTGCTTTATCATTGGTGCCTAATAATCCCTTTAATTAGGGTTGCCCGGTTAGTCATGTGTTCAATATTTTGAATTCTTTAACATCAGGACTTCCTAATACATGGACATCAAACGTTCTTGAATGTGATGATAAGAATCGAGAATGTCAACGGATATTTTCGTATACATGAAGTAAATTCGCCTCAGATTAACATGTGTTGTGGAATTCGAAAACCTGAACGCAAAAACCAACAAGTTAGAAGAACAGGCAGGTAGCGAAGACAGGACTTCCAGTGGACATAGAGGAGACGGAGGTGACGAAGATAACCAACCAAGCAACAACAAGCACCAATAATTATTATTGGGGGAACTCTGAAGAAAGGAACCTCTTTTCCTTATCCACACAGCATCGTTCCAACTAAAGGGAATGTTGAAAGCAGGATTGACGAAGAAAGATAGGCCTTTATTAATCTGAAATTATTGTGGAAATCTACTTCACCTGGTATGAGGTACAAGACATGGATTTTAAATAATCGTTTCAAAGTAGTCATTACTTCTATATGCTTCAGAGACTTGGCGCTTACGTCACGTGAAGCACTTCTAGGATTTTGCTGAAGACGTTCATCAACAGCTGCCTTCTCTGGTCCCATAATGAAGACAAGATGGCCGACCACAAAGGACTGTCGACAAGGAATGCGAATGCAACCAAGAACCTTTCAACTAATAAATATGCCCAAGAAAACGGAAATGAACAGGACACATGCCAATGAAACCGTTTGGGAATATTGCGTACTAGGCCTTAAAATGGAACCAAAATGGGAAGCGACATGTTGAGATGAGAGCTTATGGGCAATCATAAAGCTAGCTAAAAAGAACTGAAGGGAAGAGAGTGAATTGGAGTTGTGCTTCAGAAACCGTGTGTTCCATGCCCAAGTGCAATGTCTTAGCAAAAGACTGGAAGTAATTTCCTCCATAGAGAAGTTACAATTACTCTACGCTAAGGAGCTTGATTCATACATAGTGCCTTATGAGTACGAAACGATTAGGGTTTGTCGAATAATAAACAACAACACAAAATATTTTACGTATAAATTATACTACTGACAAAAGATGAAGTAGTATAAAATAGACGTTAAAAATTTACGGACAACGATGACATTTGCATGCATTTGTGTACTCTGACTTGGTTGGGTTGGAGAGAAAAGCAATATATTTTACATGTGGATTAGGCATGCATTATTATCATTACTAAAGAGTTGTACCCACCACATGATAATCAGCACTGCTGCTAACAATACTGTTGTGAAGATAAATAAGCCTCCAAATATCACTAGCAGTCTAGTTCGTTGAGATAATGTCATCTCTAAAACTGTAATCGAAGATGACAAGATGATATGTGTTAGAGAAAATAAAAAGGTATACTTCTTTACTCAGGTGAATATATATTTCTCTTTCTATGGGGCTGTGATCACTATAGAATACAGAGATCAGGGAGAAACAGACATATTATGAGTCAGTGTTTCCCTGACATGGTCTGCATACCGGGCTTACGTCCCTAATCCAGTTTATGGGTTATGTCATTGGATTTCTGTCGGTATATGGTATCCATTCAGAATTTGGTTATGTGAAGCAAGTACGTATTTAACTGCTTTTTACTCATTTCTCAGTGTGAGAATAGTAGCAGTAGGGTGACCTAGGGTGACCACCTTTCTAAATGTCTGAAGAAGACATGTCAAGCCACCTTACGTATCGTATTCTCTGGCAGACAGTTAAACCAGTCTGAAGTTAAGGACAAGTTACCGCCTTTGACTACCTCAGTGTGTATTTATCATTGTGGAGCAAAGTATATCGGTGTGTGCAATGTCAAGTATGCAAACGTGTTCTGAAACACTGTCCAGCTTGGCTAGCCAGAGGAGGAAGGAAGAATACCAGTAGCTCAATCCTTGAACATCTTGTCAAATCTGGACATCGAGCACCCCCACTTGCATGAGCGCTTCACAGTGCTACACGGAGTCCCTCAATATCATACGAGAGGACTTCAAATACGCCATCTATACATGGCTGAATCATTGGTTATTCGGTATTTGAAACCGGACCTCCGCATTCAAAAGTACCAGATACATTTACTCTCCCTATCGTGGCCAGAGTAAAGTTCTCATTATAATTTTGCTTTCTTTTATTATTTAAATTTACTATTATTATTTTCACCATCTTTATTTTCTTATCACTACTACTGTTTATTAATAACATCGCGTTATCATACAGATTCTATAGAAACACTCTGCCGTCTTTCCACTAGTTCTTGTCCACTCTACACAATTATACTAATTAGTCATTATCTCACACTTATGTCAACATCCCAACTTCTTCCCCCTTTTCTAATTTCTAATCAGTCAGCCCTTCTAGACGAAACCTTACACTATGTTATACATTTTCGAGGACAAATTCTACCAGTACCTGATCGGTCTTAAGAATGTTTTGTTAAATATAACTACAACTGTACAGCTCATGAAAATGAGTCGTCGAAAAGAAAATTTTCTTCCCTGTTTACGTCTTCTTTTTCTTATGATTCAGTATGACGATTTTCCGTCCACTATTGAAGTAACACTAGAATGAACCCAAATGCCCTTGTTGCTTTTTTAATTCGGAAATATCATTATTCAAAAAACAAGTAAAAATTACACTTTAGAGTTGGACAAGATTAATGTCTCAGACTCGAGTCGGTGGTACACCTGTAGAATGCTTGCCAACCACACATATGATTCAGGGTTCGATCCCCGGCCACCGACGCACTCCTTTACCTCACTAAGCCATTAATAAGGCTGGTAGAGAGTGAAGATTGAGCATGAGGTTAGCAAGTCCAGCTCGTAAAAAAAGCACCACGGTTACCGAAATTACAAAGCTCAAGCTTCAAGCCCTATTTTAGATTGGGAACGTAAAGGAATAAAAAAATGCCTTGGGATCTGTCACCACAAATAACCATTTCATCAACAAGTGTTCAGCTGTTAACAGTAGTCACAAGTGACAGTGAAACACACTGATCACTGTAGCCTTGTTAAGCCTACTCCTATTTGCGTAGACAGACTACTGTGTTAGCCTATAGGTAAAGATGTCTACATAACAGTGGGATACACCGATGATTGTGCAAATACTGAAAAATGGTTTTTCAAATAGACACCCGCATATTCGTAAAAGTTAACACATGATATCATTATTATATGGTTAGAGTTAGAAAAAATTCCCAACCATTTAACTTTAATACACTCATACACCAAGTTTCTTAAAAACGGAGTTAATTTCATGATTGATTTTGCTAGATGTCAGTTCATCATAATGAATACAGAATGATAGTGCTGTCTACAGGTTATAGTGAGATGTTTTCAGACTTCAGAGTTTGCAAGCAACAGAACTGTTAGGGATTTAAACATATTTGGTGTTTCAAAAACTGCTTATTATTAGTGAGTTCAGTATCACACTACTATTATTTCGATAGGATTTGGACGAAAAACCATACACCAGTAGCTTTAAAGTCAGTGACTAACTGGCTTCAGTCTTGGGAACGTTGAAGGATTTGTGGAGTGTCGAGACAGAATCTAACTGCAGTACTGCAAGAAACTAGTGCTTCGAAAGCTCACCTCCACTTTGTTCTGGTATGTACGGCCTTCTTCAGCTGGTCCCATTATTGCCCATATGCTTTCATGTCCTCCTTCTCGGACGAACTCCTGTATGTCAACCTCGCACTGACGACCCACTCGTCGTTTCACATTCAGGTGCCACTCGAGCGATCACCTGGCATGCGACTGCATTGGACAGTCTCCTAAGTGTGTGTGCATTTCATTGGCATTTTCTTTGGGCAATTCACTAGGCCACAGTTTGTTGATTGGTTCATTTTCAGAATTTCAAGTTGCTAATCCCTTCTGGCCAGCCATCTAATCTTGAATATGGAACCAGCAAAGGCAGTTGTT